CCCCCCAGTACCACGGATCAAACTCAGGAACTTGTGCTTGGGAGGTAGGCGTGGCACCCCTGAGCTACATCCCCAGCCCTCACCATACGTTTTGATCACATCTCATATGGAGGGCAGCTAGGGTTCTCACGCTTTGCCGGCGGGCGTGGAAAATGGTACAATCATTTTGGAAAAGGGTGGCAGATTCTTAGAAAGATAAGCACACGTCTTCCTCATGATCAACAATCTCATACCTACGTGTTTATTTACATGGGAAACAAACCCTAAACAGTCGCCCGACAGTGTCCGTAGTGGCCTTGCTCACCACAGTCAGGTTGGAAGCCGAGGAGGTACCCACTTCCTGGGTGGATGGAGAAGGTCCACAGCACGGAGCACCACTGAGCAACAAGAAACAGCAAACCCTCAGCCCTGGCGGCAAAGTCGATGTGGCTCGAGATCATCACACTGTGTGGAAGAAACCACACACAAACTACCTGGTTCCATTTGTATGAAATTCTAGGACAGGCAAAATGAACCAGTGTGGCCTGGTCGCTGGGGTGGGGGGTAGGTATGGAAACAGGCATGAGGGAACGTTCTGGGTTGGAATTTTCTAGAACTTACAGAGGCGCTGATCCCACGGTTGTGGGTATTTGTCAAGACGTGTTGAATTGTACACTTGAAGTCCATACTGAGTATGCCTTGACATAAATTATACTTCAATTTAGCAGCCACACATGGCACTTTTAAAAACGAACCTCACAATGAAACAAGTCACAACAAAATCAAAATTATGACAGAGAGAGTAGGTTGTCTGACCATGGTGCAATTAAGCTAGGAAAAATGACAAAATGATAGCCAGGATATTATAGCTGTGTGCTCTAAGTTTAAAGGAACGCTTCTAAAGAACCCACATCTCAAACAAGAAATACAATGGAAATTAGAAAATACTTTGAACCAAATGGTAAAGAAATACAAGATGTATTTATTATATGTCCCTTCTATAGCAATTGGAGAGAAATACACAGCCATCAGCACATATATTAGAAAAGAAAAAGAACTGACAATTAATGGCTCAATCACCTCTAGATGTAAGAAAGTTAGTGGCAAAATAAACTCAAAAAACAGAAGGAAGAAAATATTCAGGAGAAAATGTAATGGTAGAAAACAGGCCTGTGCTAGAGAATACTGACAATGCCACAAACTTATTCCCTAGTGGATTGATACGGGTGGTGACCCCCTGGTGAGAATGGTAACGGAGAAATAAAGGAAGGGAACCAGGAGTGTTGTGGTTCAGATCCCCAATGTCCCTCAAAAGCCTCAGCGTTCAGAGGCTGGGCTTGGAAGGTGACTGTGTTGTGGTAGGCAGGACAGGCAGCTACGAAAAGGCCAAGCCCAAGAGGGAGTCGGGATGACCCGGATGAGGCGGGCTGACAAAACCCAGGCCACAAGACGGAGGCACCGTGACCAAGGCCAGGGCTTGGAGGGTCCCTGCTAAACACTGGTGGGACCTTTTGGGCCAACCAAGCCCAGGAATACGCTGAGCAAGGAGACAAAACCAGGGTTTCCAACGCTGTACTCCCACCCCTTCTGAGGACTGCCTTTGTTCTGCTTGTCCTGATAATTTTAGGAAAAGCTACAATTAATGGAGCCTGAAAAAGTATGCTTGCAGTGCGCCCTGAGTTTCCTATTTGTTTTATTATTTTGTTGTTGTTTATGTTTTTCTTTGAGACAGGGTCTCGCTGTGTTGTTCAGCCTGGCCTTGAACTTGTTCCGTAACCCAGGCTGGCCTCAAACTCATGGCAATCCTCCAATACAGCTTACTTTACACCAACACATCTTAAAATTTAGAAGAAATGTACAATCAGTTGGGGGGAAATATAACTGAGCAAAATTGACTCAAGAAGGAAAGAAATGTGAATAGTCGTGTGCAACCATCACTGACATTTTAGCTGTTTTGGCTTTGTCGTATGGCCACATGCCTGTAGGTGTTAACTTATAAAGTGGGAAAGTTTATTTTGATCCACGGTTTTGGAGGTTCCGGTCCAAGATCAGTCTGTTGCTTGGGGCCTCTGGTGGGCATGCTGGATAGCAGAGACAAGAAGCACAGGGTGGAACAGATGCTCATTTCGGGCTAAAAGCACAAGGGAAAGAGGACAGGGTGGGTCTTTGATCCCCTTCCAGAGCAGCCGAGTCCTGAAGCCCCACCCACCATGCCCCAGTAGCGTCACCCTGGGGGCCAAGTCTTCCACACGGAGGCCTTTGGGGGACAAAATCCACAGGCCCAGGTCCCTTCCCCAGGATGCGCAGATACTCATGAAAGAACAAAATATTGTGCAATTTTACAAAATCTTCCAAGACTTAATTAAAAAGAGGGAACATTCCCAGCTCTATCATAAGGAAATATTACCCCAGATACCACAACATTCAACAAGGACCGTTGGGAATGAAAAATTACAAACGATCACGAACCCTAAACGGAGATCCCAATGTTCCAAATGACATCTGTGTGCAGCAGCAGGAGAAAAGGGGCTGAAGTTTGGAGGAGGCCGCAGGATTCCTCAGCATGACAGCATCAGCGTAAGCTGCTACTGTACCAGATTCGAGGGGGAACCAGCGGGGGACGCCAAAATGTAGTCAGTAAAATACGATACCCATTTATCCAAAAACCAGCAAACTAAGACTAGACAGGGACTTCCTCAGCATGACTGAGATCCAGCATTAACAGAGAAAAATGGGAAGCTTTGCCACCAACGCTGCCAACGAGACAACGAATCAGAATTACTTCAATGCAGCATCATGCAGATCTCTGTGGGCAAAGTAAGGCAGGGAGATAAAACGCAGCGGTGTTAGGAAAGAAAGACAACACTTCTGTGGGTCTTAGATGACTGCGAAGGCCAGAAGGCCAAGCGCTCAAGTTATACTTACAGAACTAACAAGAGCATTTAGAAGGGTTCTTAGAAGCAAATGTCAGCTGTATTTATACATAACTACCATGACACTTGGAAGATCAAACAGTCTTTAGGAAGGTACGTAATACTACGAAAGAAAAACTTGAGAGTTTATTGGACGATACTAGAACTGATCAAAGTAAGAGATCCAATGTGTCACGTGCGTAAGATTGTGTTTTTAAAGACACTAATTACCTCTAACTTGATTTTTATTTATTTATTTTTTGGTATGGGACGGTATACGTCATTGCAAATTTCCACCACACATGTTTTTTTTATTTTTTGGGTACAGGCTTGCAGTCCATAATGGTGGTATATGAACACCACATGCCTTAATTCCTTTTTTAACCCCTTTTCCCTTCTCTCCCTCCTCCCCCCACCATCTCTTGGTTTCCTGCCCTATTATCCCTTTTTCCTATTAGCTTTTATTTTGCTCTATCATTTGTTTATATTTCGGGTTTCTCATGTAAGAGAAATCATGTGAAATGTGTCTGATTTATTTCATGTAACATTATGGTCACGAGGTGCATCTATCCCACCTCTGGGTATCTTCCTGAACGAGTTAAAGACATCGTACTGCAGTGACCCCTGCAGACCCATATTTATAGCTGCATAAATTATAACAGCTGAGCCTTGGAAGTGGGCCAAATGTCTATCAATGGACGATTGGACAGAGAAAAATGCTACTTACACACAATGTTGTAGTACTCTGCCATAAAGAAGGAAAAACTTGAGTGCTTTGTAGGAAAACGGATGCATCTGGAGTCCCACTTCGCTTATAAGCTCAACACCATCCAAACCAAAATCCAACAAGACTTTACAGACCCTGATAAGCAGTTTCTGAAAAGGCAAGGGCAGCACTTAGCCAAGACGCTTAACGTAAAGCACAGTGTGGGAAGACTTGTTCTCTTGGGCCCTTATTATGAACAAGAGGTGATATTAGCCAGGATAAGGACAAATAAAACAAAAGAACAGGACAGATCTAGAAACCGACCTATGCATTCAGGAGAAGGCTGTATGAGACAGCCCTGTGGTGCCGCGGGAAAGCAGCATTTCTAGTGTCATGGGGGCTGAGCAGACAGGAAGTGAACTGATCTGCAGTTACAGTGGACTCAAAGTGAACCCAGCCGCCTGCCCCCGCTGGCTCCTCAGACCTGGCTCACACTAAGTGACCAGATGAAACCCCCGTGTAGAAGAAAATGACAAACACACCTCTGATGCAGGACACACATTTCCTCCCGATGGCCTGTGACCCTGTCCTCACAGGTGATGGCTGTGGGTCCTTAATTTGAGCCTTAATGGTCTCCTGTAAAGACCAGAGTAGTGGGCCATATAACCACCGAGACAGTGCAGCTACTCCTGAGACAGACAGAGTGCACGCAGACCTAAAGAAAGCCGGCCTGAGACGCTTGCTGTGATGGCCCTGGAACCCCTGCCTCAGACCCCAGTGCTGCACTCTTCTCTTGGACTTGCCCGTTACTCTCTTGCAACATTTCCGTGAACTCTTCCCTTTCCTGTACTCCCTGGCTGTTGATAAATTCTTTTACTGCCCTTGGTACCAGCTTTCCTTACGTTGCCTTGCATGGCAAATAACTGGTTGGAAAAGTGGGTATTCATACAGAGCGCACGGTGGTGGACTGGTGCGCTCCTGCCTTCTACGCCCACAGGAATCAAGGGGAGAGAAGTCCGAAATACAAGATGCAAGACGGGGAGACATTGAGGATGTGAGGTAGCCTGAGTCTTTCAGGACCTCAGGTAGGATTAATGAAGAGATGTGGCTCTCCAATGCCCAGAAATCTCACTCCTGAGTATATATGAAAATAACCCCAGGTTTATATGAATACACACGACGTATGCGCTCTCAGACAGCTATGTAGAGAATATACATGCACCGCTCATGGGAATCTTTTTCACAGTAGCACTGAAACAACCCAAGAGCCCAAACCAGTAAATCAGACCAATAACTGCAACCTCGTCACACAATGAAATGCTCAGGAACATTCACACGCAGGGGCAAAACACTGAACACGGACCAACCTTGAAAACACGACGCTCAGTGGCAGAACTCGCATGTGCTGAAAAGCCACACACTGTAGACCCCGTCGATGCGGAAGATCCAGAGAGGCCAATCCTCAGAGGCAGCAGACCTGTCATTTCCGGTGCTGGGAGGGAGAGTGGGGTGTGGCTGCTGAAGTGAAGAGGGTCCTGCAGCGGTGAGCAAAGTGCTGGAACATGAATAATGGTGGCGGTTGTACAACATCGTGAATGGAGTATTATGTTATGGCAATTTTTAAAAGAATGAGGGCACAGAAGATTTGAATAACATTATTAACATATGCACAGGATTCCCATGCATGTACATCTGCAACTGAACAATACGGATATTTTCTGTCGTGCAGAACGGTCTGTGCCTCAGTAACAGGTGGTGACAGAAATGAAGGACTATCCAGAGCTTTGCTACCTGTTCTGACTGAATCTCTGCACCTCCGCAGCCTCCTCAGTCTCTGGCTTAGCATTAGGTGTCCCAGCTGTGCCCAGAACGCGTAGTCCAGAGTCTGGATTTTGGGAGGTATCGGAAGCCTAAACCTCAGGTTCTGAGACTGGGGCCCCCACTCTGGGGTCTGAGGCTGGAATCTGGAAGGGTGAGCGGACAGCTTGCGGTGTAGGTGCTGGATCATGAAACCTGCTATCTAGAAAAGACTCCCACAGCTGGTTTGGTAAAAGATAGAGGAAGTTTTCAAGGAGCCCCAAGCGCCAAACCTCAGGGAGTGGTGCTGCCACCAGGACCAGGAAGGAGTCTTAGGCTGGTGCGAAGGCCCTGGGGCAGCCTGGGATGCCTGCTCTGAGCCAGCTGGGGGTGCCCTTGGGGCAATGAGGTTTCTGCTTTCTGGTTTCCAGGTTTCTGCAAAGAAGAGAAGCGCATACATTTGGAGAAAGACTTCCGCAATCCCCATGCGGGCGCTGGGCACTCCCAGAAGGCCAAACATCAGCAGATGCCATAGAAAGAAAATCCTCAGGGCTCCACATGAGCAGAATAATCAGCAGATTCAGGGCTTTCAGAATGGCCAAGAGTGGGACTGTTGTATTTAGAATAGAGAACAGGTACCATGGGTAACTGTTAGAGACAGAAAGGAGACTTAAAGAATCCATCACACATATGCAGTTGAGGATAAGAAGCCTTTGTATTAGTCTGTTTTCCACCACTGTAATAAAATTTCCAAGGCTGGGTGACTTGTGAAGAAAAGAGGTTTACCCTGTTCAGTTTTGGAGGGTAAAGTCCAAGATCAGGCTGTCCCTTTCCACTCCCGTGAGGGGCTCGCCAGCAGATGGCACTGTGGCCAGGGTGTGCATGAGAGGGATCAGGTTTATGACAGGAGCTGAGGGCCAGAAGGGCTGTCCCGCCCCCCCCCCGTATGGGGTTGTGGGCCCAGTGTCTTCACACCAAGCTACATCCCCCTTTTCAATTTTTTTATTTTGAAATAGGTCTTGCTAAGTCACTAAATTGCCCAGGCAAGGTTTAAACTAGCAATCTTCCTGCCTCAGCCTCCCAGAGCGCTGCGATTACAGGCATGCGCCATCACACCCAGCAGAAGTATGTGTCTCCTAAGAACCCACTCTCAGGCCTGGCTAGCTGAGGTCCCTCCAGGGCAGCGTCCCCAGTCACCTTCCACGGGGCTCTGCCATTTAAACATCCCAGCTCCTCCTGAAGTCGGCAAGCTTCCAGTCTGGGGACGCCTAGGGACAGACCACACCCAACAGCAGCCAACCCACGTGACTTCTCCTGGCTGTTGGGCACCTCGCAAAGTGACCCTTGCTGCCACGGGGGTGTGATCGAGGCGCTGGTGACCCCGACAAGGATATTTCCAGGGTCCAGGCCTCAGCTGTCCAATTCTGACCCGACTTCCAGCCGCATTTGCCTGCAGAGCCCCGACTACTGCAGAGCTGTCCGCGGCCTCCGGCTCTGCCCTCCGTCCCTGGACTCTGAGGCCCCGGCTGCAGTGGGATCGGGGAGCCGACTCCTCTCCAGGCCGGATCCAGCTGCTCTCTGTAAATAACATTTTGATGCCGCGCAGCCACACGCTCTCATTTGGCCGTCTTTACGCCGAAGCAGCAGAAAGGAGTAAACGCAGCGACAGCGTCTGGCCCGCAAACCCACCGGAATTGCCTGTGGTCTGGACTCCGCGCTGCCCCGGCCCCCAGATCGCGCGCACACAGGCGGCACTGGAGTCCACACACGCACGCCCAGAGTGGAAGGCACCGGATCCAGGCCCTGGCCCAGGCCCCTGTTCCGTATGACACACGCCAGGTCCCTGATTCCAAACAGGGCCCCCACCACCCCGCGGGACAGACGGAGGTGGTTGTTGTGAAAGGGCCCAATGGCGGGCACGGAGCAAGTCTCATGAAAGAGAAGCCCTGTCCTGGGAGGCCGCGAGGGTGTGGCCGACGGCTGCAGGCTCCCCCTCCTTTCCCTGGCTCCCCCCAGGGTGGACTGAGGCAACCTGCCTCGGGCCCTCCTGGGAACACTGAGGCCACCCCGACAGGAGGTACAGCTTGGCTGGCACCCGCAGTGCCGCTCGCCCACCACCACCACTCCACCTGCTGCTGCCACCACGGGGGAAGTGGCCGGGAAACCACCTCTAATGTGGAAGGGGTCAGGGAAGGCTCGGCCGTTATCCTCAGCCCCGAGAAGGAGCGATCAACGCAGCTCGCCCTCCCGAATATTGCACAGTATTGGCCCAGCCTCTTTAGGGGAGATAGGACAGCTGTCGACCAAGCAGCAGCATCTCCCAGTGGGGGAACCCGGAACTGCCACCGGGACAGCTGCGGTGAGGGCAGGCGCCCTGCTCGAGCTCCAGGCGGTGTACAGTCTGGCCACCTTGGGCCGGAAATGGAACTAGGCAGGAAAACTCAACTGAGACTAATCAATGTGCTCATTATCGGATGACTTGAGCAGGGGATTTAGCTCAGTGGTTCCAACACCTGTCTCAAAAGTGCAAGGTCTCAAATTCAATCCCGGAACTAAAAAAAAAAAGACTTGGGTGTGAACCAATTTGGACGAATCACCAAGCCCAAATGTGGACCAATCACAGGCCAGAATTAGGACAAATTGGCAGGCTTGAATTTGCACCAATCAGCAGGCCCAAATTTGGACCAATCACAGGCCAGCAGCTATATAAGTAGCAAGGACCTCTCATTTCTGAGATCAATTTGGAGGTTTCCTTTTTGTGTGCTGTCCCTGTTGTGCTGTGCTGCAGGACAGATCATGTTCAAATAAAGCTTGCCCTGGCCATCCTGCAGATCTGCTCGGGATTCTTATCCCAAGTGTGACAGAACGCTTGCTTTAAAAAAGCTGTAAACGCCTGGGTCTGTTAGCCCAGGGGTTCCAGAGACCAGCAGCCAATGAAGGCGAGTGACAGAGACTGAAACCCAGTGACCCGCAGCAGCCAGCGGTGCAGGAGCCAGCGGGCAGCGGGGTTGGCGAGCCGCGGCAGCAGCCTGGGTACAGACTGTACTGCCGAGGACTGGCACTGCTAGCACAGCTGCGCCTTGCCGGGTCATAGCTCCTATCCGAGTCGAGCAAAAGTACTCTCACCTGACCAGTGAAGCCAGGACCCCAAGAGAAGAACCCTGGGTTCAGTCCACACGTGCAGCTCCTACTTGGACTCCAGAGCCCGGCTGGGAGGGCAGGCAGGGCCTCTGCAGAGGACAGCAGGTGGCGTCCTGGCCCAGGGGAAGGCAGGGCAGAACCCAGCTCCACAGAGGGCGGGGCCAAGAGCAGAGCGTCTCACAAGGGCCAGGGGAGGAGCAGCTGCAGGACCCGCACCCCACAGCTCAGCCCCTCAAAGTCTGACCACGGACGGCCACTAGGGGCAGCCGGGAGCCAGCTCCCCTGAGGCCCTGCAGGACTGGGCCCTCCCGATCCTCTCCCTAAACCCCTCCTCCAGACACAGCCCCTGCGCCCCAGAGGGAGCAGCGAGGCCCGCCGCTCCCGAAAATGCCAGCACACAGCACGGTGTTCCTCACCGGATCCAGGGGGTTTTCTCACACTGGTCCTCGGAGAAGACCTTGAAGACCACACGCTGGAGATAGGAGGGGAACACGTCTGCAGGCCAGCGAGGAAGGGCTGCGTCCAGACCCTGCATGTCCTCGTCCTTCCTCCTCACACCCGGGGGTCCGCCCAGCCCGCGCCTCGGGTCCCCAACACACACACACTTACTTGCCCTGCTCCAGCCTGAGACAAAGAGCCGGCTCCCCCCACTCCGTTCCTGCTGCTTCCCTGGGCAGCGGCAGGACCTGCACGCTGTCCGTGATCCGCGCGGGCTCCTTCAGGCGCAGCAGCATCAGGTCGTGGCTGTAGTCGTCCTGGGGGTCGCTGGGGTGCGGGCCCAGGAGGCTCATGTTGAACTGCGGGTGAGGGAAGCCCTTGCTGACGGTGATGTGCTGAGCTGTGTCTTCGTCGTCAAACAGGTTGTGGCGACCCAGCCAGACCTGGTACTTGCTGGGGCAAAGGGAGGGAGAGTGAGGGGGGGCGAGAGGAGCGGAGCGAGGACAAGGGAGGCCAGGTGTGAAGGGCAGGAGGACAACAGGGAGAGGAAAGAAGAG